TGTGTCATGCATCCACCCAAAAGGTGCAGAGTCTTGTTGGAATACATACTATCTTACACTGCGTACGTTGTCTATGCAGGATTTGACAGCCCTGTCCAACATCACCTGATAGACCAAAGCATTGACTCTTAAACCCTGAAGGAATAACTGACAGTGCAAGGCATCTCTCTTGCTGACGACACTCCGAACAATTAGAGTCGCTAGGAAATGATCCTCGGAACCTCATTTGAGTCTCTGCATAACTATCTGTTGTTCTTTCGCTTTACCTTTTGGTTCTAAACAAAGTTGTACACATCGGAGATAAAGCAAATCATTCCAACCTCTTGGTCATTTAGTTTGTTTAGTGAGCTCTCCGCGCAGATCAAACGATTCTCTTTTGCCTCTTCCGATATGAACTGACTTCTCCACATCACATACCACTTGTACCGGATATCCTCATCTACTGCCTTTTCTGATTGTGCACTTTGACACCTTGCGGTCCTTTTCGATGGCTTTGATTGACTTCCCGGGGATCGTATCGATTATTTACTGAACCATTCGTGCAAAAGTTTTCTAATAGTATCAGGACACTTAACCTTCGTTTTAGCCGTTACTATTGGATTTCCGTCGGCAACTTCCAGTTTCTCTCGAACTTTGATAACGAAAGTTCGGGCAACAGTTAGGAAAAGAGCCGTCTCTGTATCACTGTGTTGCGCTTTTAAGGCAACGACGAAAGCCTGAGCTTTTCATTTGCCGAGTCAGCTTGATACGAGACATTATCGGAAACGAGGTCATAAAAATAAGTTGGAAGACATAGTTCTTGAAAGACGTGCCCTCAGAAAACTGACAAACCCTGCGAGTGTCTGTATATGTATTTGCAGACAGATGATATATAGATAGATATACTAATGAAGTAATGCAAACTCCTGAATAGAAGTTTCAATTTACAAGAAAAATTAAATATATATATATATATATATATATATATATATATATATATATATATATATATATATGATAAAGTGCTCAATATCAGAGATAGAGCGTATGTAAAAAAATAAAAAGTGAATATTGAAGTTAACACTCAGGGCGACAAGCTGTTTCCTGCTAGAAACAATAGTCACGCCGCGAGTGTTTGATTTTCTCGACTATTTATATATATCTGTCCCCGCCAAAATAGCAGACTAGACTACGGCAATCAATCCAAAAATTGGACAAATAAATAGATTCATCTTCCCAGACCAAAACACAATATTAAATAAGCGACCGTAAAAAACCCCAAATTTTTTACCACGTTAATAAAAACATCGAAAACCGAAAAAGAATAAATAAATATAAAATAATAAATGAAAATAAAAAACAAGTAAAATAAATTAACCCAACTAAATAAATAAACAAGCCACTTTCGCCAAAATAACCGCCAGAATAGATTACCCATAATGCACCACTGTCCGATATATATAAATAGTCGAGAAGAAATCCAACACTCAGCGGCATGACGATTGCGTCTACAAGCAACTGTCATGAAGCAATGCAGCTTCAATGTTCGCCTCTGAGTATATATATATATATTCATATTTATATATATATATATATAATTATAGAAAAATAATCAGATAAGGATAAATACATTAACTGGTTCAACATTAAGAGGTGCATCAGCGGTATTGCGATCCATGTTATACTAAATGTTAGTAAACACAGGCCTGTACTCTAGGATGTTTACAATACATCAAACATTGAGTGCTTTCCAAATATTATGTACCTGTTATTGCAATTTAAGTGGGACACTGTTCCTGCCTAATTGATACAGAATTAATTTACGACAATGCCTGGCTATGAAGAAAATCAAGCTGATTATGTAGAATAGCATGGGCATTATGTGGGCGGGCATTATTCTGCTGGAAAATAATTCAGGGATGGCAGTAATATGAGCTGTACATACTTCTTGGTTAAACACAGAAACGAACACAATTTCATCAACATGTGACCAGCCATTTGTCCTTCTCTTGGAGATACAACGTCACAGCTGTTTGCTCCAGCTACTGCACCCTAAGCAACATAGGCGTTATCCCGGAGCAAGAGCACACTTGACCTCAGCTACCCTCAGCTCCATTGCTTCCTTCAGTTTTCTTAATTCTGATGAACACTTCTTCTGTTCATTAATAGATTTTCCCTTTTTTTCAGGTAGGCTATCATGATTACGCCTTCAGAATAAAAAAAAAACAAAAGCCACTACCTGACCAACAGATGCTGCATGTTTGAACTTCTTCGGTGATGAAGAGTGTTTCCACTGTTTGCTTTGTTTCAGGTAGGAAGTGGTAAACCTAGGTTTCATCTTGTTACTAATCTGCGGCGGAAATTCTCAGGGTCAGTCTGGAAGTAAATCAGAAGTCTCCCGGAAATATCAACCCATTTCAGTCTGTTCTTTTTTCAGCATTCTTGGGACCCAAGACAGCTTGCTAATCCCCAAAATCTCACTTAAAACAGTATGGGCCTGTTCCAGAACTAATATCTATTGACTTAGTTATCAGTTGAACAGCAAGATACCTGTCATCCAAAATCAGCAAAAACTTGTTCGATGGGGTGACTTGTCATCCAAAAACTCTTTACAGGTGAATGCAAGGATCGTTCAAAAAGAATGAGTTGGAGAAACAAAACACTTTTTATTTTCAATATGGGGTGATGATCCAACAATGGGCAATCCTATCAGGGTAGCATCCTGGTCCTCCAAAATCTAATCATTGTTTGGAATTTGAGTTTAGGAAACGGGAAGAAGTCGGATGGGATAGCAATTCAAAGCCACAATTAGCTACTTCAGCTACTGCAACTTGAGCAGTGTTTACGAGCACATTATCCTGGATCAAGAGCACACCTGCCCTCAGCTTCCGTCTGCATTTTGACTCGATTGCTTCATTCAATTGTCTTAATTCTGATGCATAGTATTGTCCATTTAAGTTTTCCCTTTTCCAGGTAGTCTATCTTCTTGAACTTCTTTAGAGGTAGAGAATTAGTGTTTCCATTGTTTGCTTTAAACCGTTGATTCAAGTTCAAAGTGGTGAACCCAGGTTTCTTGAGTTACTAATCTGTGGTGGAAATTCTCAGGGTCAGCCTGGAAGCAAGTCAGAAGTGTCCTGGAAATATTAACCCTTTTCAGCTTCTGTTCTGGTGTCAGCATTTGCTCATCCCCAAGATCTCATTTAAAACAGTATGGGCTGTTCCAGAACTAATTCCTATGGACTTAGCTATCTGTTGAACAGCAAAATTTCTGTCATACAAAACCATACAGTGAATGGCATCAACTTGTTCATCACTGGTTGAGGTTTTAGGACGACCTGAACGAGGGTAACCTTCTGTGCTGTTCTTCTCTTGGTTGAATTCAGCAGCCGATTTCTTCACAATTGTATAGGAAGGGGCGTCTTTAGTAAGTGCCTGTACTTTCATTGGCTTCCATGTCTTTTTTTTTTTTTGGCAGATACTTTGACTGATTGGGCCTTTATTTTGTCCATTTTTAGGTTTGTTTCTCACCTCTCAACTTTGTATAGGCCTCACCTGCACAGAACGTTTGGTTTGGTTTGTTTTGTTTTACGACATATCAACCTCAATGGGTTATTTAATGCCGACAAAATTTGTATTACTGGTAATATGTTTTTCTTCAAAAATCTATTTCTGGGAATATATTTTCTTGCATAAATTTATAGCTGGTCATATTTTTTTTCAAAGAATGTATAACTGTATTGCTGGTTTTTTTTTTTTTTAAGTATTCCTGATAATAATTTTTCCATCAAAATTATTGCTGGTAACAATTTTTTTTATTATAATATATTTCTGGTATTAAATCCTATTTTCTGGTATTAAATCCTATTTTTACACAAGTTTAGTGTTAACTATTTGCCCATAGCTGGGACCCTAACAGGTGCTACCACCCCGGGTCAGGGTGGACTTGGGAACACCAGCAACTAAGAGGTGGTTCCACGCTCCTCAAAACCTCCTGATCAGAGTCCTTGATGTTGGACGTAGTTTATCATCTTACCCAGGACGCGGGTAGTTTATCGTCATCCTCAGGACGACCTGCACAGAAATTGACAGCTGAACATTAACATTAGAAATAATGAGGAAAGGAGACTTAGAAAATTTGACACTCACAGGACATATTAATGATAAGAGGGACGGGGGAAGTATATGGCTTTTCTTTCTGGATGAGGTTTAGAACTTGTTGAATGACCTTCGTAAGTAAGCATGGTTTTCAAAGCGCCATTTCAGCAAATAGATTTTGACTTTTATATGTGTCTAGTGTAAAATGTCATTCTTAACTGAATATTAATCTGAATCTTTACAGAATAATGTTTTATTCATGTGATTAATGTCTGACATCAAATTAACTGACAAAAAATGTTTGAATATGTGCGTTGACAAAGGAGATATAAAATTAAATGTTTATTGTTAGAAAATATATTTTTTCCGCATTAAACTTCGGATTTATTGATAAACAAGTCTATCATCGAATTTCTTCTCTTTTATGAGTCGTGTCCTCTCATGACGTAGTCGGTCATGGCGCTCCACAACTTCCTGTCCTTTGTAGCTCTTAATGAACTTTATCTTTCTGTTATTTTTCCTAAACTTCGTACTGCTATTCATTTACTGAAGATCACTTGTTATGAGTTGCTTTCCTTTGTTCCCTCAATCTGTCCCGTGAGTATCAGGTTTTCCAAGCCCTCTTTCCTCAATGTGTTCCCCAGAAACCTTAACTGTCTCTTCTTGATATTAAGTATTAGTTTCCTTTGTGTTTCCATTTTCTCCAAAAATATGTTCTATCCATGGTATCCTCAGCATCCTTCTGTAGAACTGCATATCTGTTGCTCTAAGTGTCCTCTTCATCTTTAAGGAAATGGTCCAGAACTCAATGCCGTACAGGAGGACAGATATGACATTGCAGTTTATAATAATTTACTTTCTCTAAATGTTTCTTTTTCTATTTGTCTAAAGATTTCTTATTCTCAGGTCTCTTTATATATTCTTATATGTACACGGCTCTCCCTTACTCTCTCTCTCTCTATCTCTCTCCTCCCTTACTCACTCTCCCTCTCTCTATCCCTATCTCCCTCTCTTTCTCTTTCTCCTCTCTCTGTCCCTTACTCTCTCTCCTTCTCTCCCTTTCTCTCTACCTTACTCTCTCTCCTCTCTCTCTCCCTATCTCTCTCTCTCTCTCCCTCTCTCCCTTACTCTCTCTCCTCTCTCCTTATATCCCTCTCTCTCTCTCTCTCCCTCTCTCCCTCTCTCTCCCCTTTCTCCCTCTCTCTCTCTCCCCTCTCCCTCTCTCTCTCTCTCTCTCTCTCTCCCTCTCTCCCTCTCTCTTTTCTCCCTTACTCTCTCTCTCCCTATCTCCCTCTCTCTCTTCCTCTCTCTCTCTTTACCTCTCTCTCCCTCTCTCCCACTCTCTCTTTCTCCCTTACTCTCTCTCTCCCCTAACTCTCTACCTCTCTCTCTATCTCTCTCCCTCTCTCTTCCTCTCTTTCTCCCTTACTCTCTCTCCCTCTCTCTCTCTCTCTCTCCCTCTCTCTCTTTCTCCTCTCCCTCTCTCTCTCTCCTTACTCTCTCTCTCCCTCTCTCTTTCCCTCTCTCCCCTTAATCTCTCTCCCTCTCTCTCCCTCTCCTCTCCTCTCCCTCTCTCTCCCTCTCTCTCTCCCTCCCTCTCTCCCTCTCTTTCTCCCCTCTCTTTCTCCCTCTCTCTCCTTACTCTTTCTCCTCTCTTTCTCCCTCTCTCTCTCCTTACTCTCTCTCCTCTCTTTCTCTCTCTTCCTTACTCTCTCTCTCTCTCTCTCTTCTCTCTCTCTCTCCTTATCTTTCTCTATCATTTTCCCTCTCCCGCTTACACTCCTGTATCTTTCTATATCCCTTTCTGCCTCCCTCAATCACCCTCTCTCTTTCTCATTTCTTTCTATCTTCCTTCTACTCCCCCCTTTCTCTATCTCATGCGCACTTTTCTCTCTCGCGCGCCCACTCTCTCAGTTCTCTCTATCTGTTAGCATCTACACCTTTATTCACTTTTCTCTTTATCTATTTTCTATATCCCTGCCACTCTTCCTATTTCTTTCTCTAGCTGTTCCCTCCCACTTCTTTCCCTATTTGTTTCTATCTTTCACTTACCCCTCCGTCTCTTTTCTCTTTCTATCTCCCTCTTAATATCACGTCTCTATCTCTATCTCACTCTTACTCTCCCACCTCTTTCTCTGCTTGTTTTTATCTTCCTCTTACGCCCCACTGTCTCTGTTCTTCCCTATCTCTCTGCATCTCACTCTTATTCTACCTATTCCTATCTGAAGCTCATTTTTCGCGCGCTTTCAGCGTATCTCCTCGTCGACTGCAGACGTCAATCGCTGATGCCGCTGCTTCTCGTGATGGAATCATTCTGCAAGTTTAAATTCTCGTTTAAAACGGAAACAGTTGTCTCTGAGAAACGAAAGGATATGGAAGAAAAAAACATTAAGAAGATACTGTCTTTTTCAAATAAAATTGACAACTAAAAAATGTCTGCGCCAGTTTATCCTGTGGCTTCTTCCTTATCCAAACTTCTTCCGCATTCTTCCCAATAAATGGCAAAGAAAACAGTTGCGAATCCCCAAGGACGCAACAGATAATCATGGCAATCATTTGAAGAAGAAGAAGAAGAAGAAGAAGAAGAAGAAGAAGAAGAAGAAGAAGATAATAAAAATAATGGTGATAATGATTATGATGACGATGATAATGATTGCAAAAATCGAATTTGAAGAAAGAAAGAAAGAAAGAAAGAAAGAAAGAAAGAAAGAAAGAATAAAAGAAGAAAAGAATGAAGGAATGGATGAGATGATTATGAAGAAGAAAAAAGAAAGAAAAATATGGAGACGGGTCGATATGAAGAAGCTAGTAAAGAAAGAAAGAGAGAAAAATGAGGAGAAATAAATTAAAAAAGAAGGGAAAATGCAAGAAATGACTAAAAATAAGAATGAAAGAATTGCGAAGAAAAATGGAGAATCTGCAATGAAGAAGAAAAAGAAAAACAAATACAGGAAGAAAAAGAAAGAAAAGGAAAAAAGAGAAGAACAGAAGGAGAAAGAAAGAAATCAACAAAAAAAGAAAAAGGATAACGATAAAGAAGAATAAAGATGAGGGAAAAAAGAAAGATGAAATATGAGAGAAGGTAAAAAAAAAAGATAAAAAAACAAAAAGCATGAGAAAGGGACGACAAGAAGACTAAAAAAAATAAAAGAGAGACAAGAGAGGGGGGAAAAGATTAGAAAGATTAGAAACTAGGAAATAATAAAAACGAATAAGGAAGAAAAGGAAACGTTAACGGCAAGAAGGATGGGGTGGGGAAGGAAGAATATGACGAGAAATGAAGGATAAAAGAAGAAAGATGAAAGAGAATGAAAGAAAAATATTAAGAAAATAACAAGGAAAAAAACAATCGATAAGAAAGGAAGGAAAAAGAAGAAAGACGAGGGTAGAAAAAGAAGGTAAAAAGAAAGAGGGATGAAAAGAAAGAAAAACGACAAGAGAAAAAGGAGAGAAAAAGAAGAAAAGGAAGAAAAAAGTAGCAGTGCGGGAAATGATGAAAGACGAGGAGAAAGAAAGAAAAGATTGATGTGACAGAAAGGTAAAGAAATGGTTGTTATTAAAGGTCGAGGAAAAAAAAAAAAGAAAGAAATGGTCGTCTGTAAAGGTCGAGAGAAGAAAGAAAGAAAGAAAGAATGAAAGAAAGAAAGAAAGAAAGAAAATGTGAAATAAATGGTCGACAGAAGAAAGAAAGAAAACGTGAAAGAAATGGTCGTCTGTAAAGGTCGAGAGAAGAAAGAAAGAAAGAAAACGTGAAAGAAATGGTCGTCTGTAAAGGTCGAGAAAAGAAAGAAAGAAAGAAAGAAAAGTGAAAGAAATGGTCGTCTGTAAAGGTCGAGAGTAGAAAGAAAGAAAGAAAGAAAGAAAGAAAGAAAGAAAGAAAGACAAAGTAAAAGAAATGGTCGTCTGTAAAGGTCGAGAGAAGAAAAAAGAAAGAAAACGTGAAAGAAATGGTCGTCTGTAAAGGTCGAGAGAAGAAAGAAAGAAAACGTGAAAGAAATGGTCGTCTGTAAAGGTCTAGAGAAGAAAGAAAGAAAGAAAAAAGAAAGAAAAAAAAGAGAAAGAAACGGTCGTCTGTAAAGGTCGAGAGAAGAAAGAAAGAAAGAAAACGTGAAAGAAATGGTCGTCTGTAAAGGTCGAGAGAAGAAAGAAAGAAAACGTGAAAGAAATGGTCGTCTGTAAAGGTCTAGAGAAGAAAGAAAGAAAGAAAGAAAGAAAGAAAGAAAAAGTGAAAGAAACGGTCGTCTGTAAAGGTCGAGAGAAGAAAGAAAGAAAGAAAACGTGAAAGAAATGGTCGTCTGCAAAGGTCGAGAGAAGAAAGAAAGAAAGAAAGAAAGAAAAAAAAAAAAAAAGAAAGAGAAATCTAAAAATAAAGAATCAATAAATAAAATCAATGAATATGGTGGGGTAGGAGAAAGAAGAAAAGAAAAAAATATTGTCAAAGAAAAATCCCTGTGGGTACAAAAATGTTTCCCTACGACGACAGGCAAATGTATTCTTTTCTAACAGGAAACTTTATCGAAATGGATATTCGTTTCCCGATTTTTATCTTCTTCCCGCCATTTATCCAAACGGTTATTAACCCTAAATATAGAACCAGCCATACGAGTTCGAATCCCACATACGGCTGTTTCATTTTGGGGATTTAGCCCTACTGACAAAGTTAACAAAATTTAATATCTTTTTTATTTTTATTTATTTCTTCTGCTACTGCTCCTAATTACAGTGTTCTTTCAGAACGTGAACGATCATAGCTCTCCACAATTTCCTGTCTTTTGCAGCTCTTAGTAAATGTTTTCTTTTTGTTATCTCTTCTAGTCTCTGTTCTGTCAGACATTTATACAAACTGATTAGCTAGATTAGTTTTCCTCTCATCCTCTTGCCTTCCATAAGTCCTGTGAGTGTCAACTTTTATCTTACTGCCGGAGATGTTAAGATAATTACGTGCAGAGTGCCTTAACTACCATCTGTTCTTCGTCCGTATTCGTGTATATACCAGAAAGATAATTTGTAAGTATATATGAAGAAGACAAGTACGCAAGGAGATGTTTATTCATAGCTTTCCCGGGAGTGTTAATCCGAAAATACAAACAGTATCAACTGAAATTCAACCTCTATGTTTTTTGGTTTTTTTTTTTTTTTGTGCCGGCAAAAATCATACTGTCTTTTTCTCTGGCATTTTTGGACAAAGGTAAATGTCTAAGTATTTCTGTACCGTTTCCCATTTTGAATTATCTTACAGTCTTAATCCCTAGCGATCCAAAAAGGCTTCTATATTAAGTGTTAGTTTATGTGATTCACTTTGTTAGGAACTAGAATATACAAGAAAAAAATGGTGGAAAGAGATTTGAGAAATTGTAAATATGACAAAACTAAGGTGCAAAGGACTGGGCCCTTAATGTTGATCAAACTCGGTCTGAGGGACTAACTGTTTCCGTTCACTCTACGATCAACAACCAAAGAAGATATTTGTTGGATTAATATTCACCAAATTAGGATCGAACTCACTCACAAAGGATTACTGAAGTAAATTTTTATCACTGTACATGGATCCCCCAAGAGATAGAAAAACAGGTGCAAATAAATGACGCTAAAAGCTATAAATTCCGCGCGTGTTTCCAACTAAAATTATCCACCAAATCAGACCTCTGCTCTTTTGAAACTCTTTCCCTGTATCTTCCTATTTTCTTCCTTATCCCTTTTAATTTTCATTGTTCAACCTCTCGTTTATTTTTCTTTTGCTCTATCTCCCCATAAAAAATTCCCTTTCCTGATAACCAGTAAGTCCGTTCGTCTATGATTTAGCTTTCTTCTAGATCCTCTCTCTATATATATAGCGATTTTCTAAGTGCGACTTAGATGTGGCACAAGACCGAAAGCATGGGGTACCCAGTGAGGATCGAACTCACTACTCAATCATATCGGAGTTAGAAAGACAAGGGTTCTAACCATTACACCACGTCTCTTTTCTATTTATATATATATATACAAGTGTATAATTGGTGTATACGGAATAAATTCCAATAACCAACAATTACTATTCTGAAAAGAGTGCTCAATACAGTGTAGAGCGGATATAATTATTTATTTAAAAATTATTAGGTCGGTGCAAAAATAATGACGTAATAATGTCGTTTTTTGCTGTTAAAAATTCCTTCAAAAAACGACATTATTACGTCATTATTTTTGCACCAACCTAATATAACATAAATATGTTATAAAATCACTACAAAAATAGCCATTTTGTTTCAACACCTCTGATGTCTTATCAAGTGAGGATGTTGAATGTCGATTGTAGGATGTTGAATGTAGATTGTAGAATCTACAATCGACATTCAAAATCATCACTTGATAAGACACCAGAGGTGTTGAAACAAAATGGCTATTTTTGTAGTGATTTTATAACATATTTACGTTATAATTTTAAATAAATAATTATATATATATATATATATATATATATATATATATATATATATATATATATATATCTTTGATGTACTATGTCTTTTCACAATGGGGCAGGGGATTGTGGTACTTTACAACCTCCTAGTATATAGCAAAGTTTCCTTCATACTCTCCCTCCATCTTTTGCCACTATTTACACAAGCTGGTATAGCAGGTAACTCTCTGTCTCACACTATCCCTCTTGTCTTCATTATGTCCTGTAAGTGTCAAAGTCTTCAAACCCTCTTTCCTCATTATGTATCTCAGGAATTTAGACATGTTCTTATTAGACGTAGGAATGTCCTCTTGGTCTTTATTCTCTTCTGTAGAACTACATCAGCAGCTTTTCTCTTCATCTGTGTCATACTGCCATATAACGTAGAAATACCAACACTCAAATGATAAGCAACATTGAAGACGAATCTGTGCCTAAATGGGTGACCTCTTTGGAATACCAGGGGCTGTAAGTTTAGATGCGCAGGTGGTT